CGCCAATAAGCATTAACATCTCCAGAGGATCATCACCGATCGTTTCAAACGTGCTGCACTCTCATTGGTGGAAAAATGGCAGCACAGCGAACAAAAAAATAATCGATTAGTTGTTAATCGAGTAATTAAAAAATGGGGCATCTCTGATTTTGGTGTGATTGTTTTGATACAAATGAGCGCAAAATTTCATCTCTACCGAGGGGGCAGCAAAACCACAAAATTACCTTGAATACGGGGGGTATTGATTGGATGAAAGGGACCGTGAAAGAGGACACTAAAATAGAAAGTTTTTCTTCCGACAGTTTCATCTTAGTATTCTCGATGAACATTTCAAATGGTCCTATCTGCTTTGATCGATTCTCTTCATCGACTTTCTCTTTTCATAACCACTGCTATGCAAACAGATTTCGCGCTAATTCTACCACATAGTTTGATAAAGGAGGTTCTTATCTAGCGCCCAAAACGTCAAATACAACAGGGAAAGGTTTTGCAGCTGAGTTATTAACGAAAGAGAAAGTCGATGAAGAGAATCGATCAAAGCAGATAGGACCATTTGAAATGTTCATCGAGTATTCATCTTTGCTGCAACCTCCTCCGTCAATATCTTCAGAAAAATCCTTTGAAACTATCTAAGTATATCTAAAGATGCTTCCAACCAAAGGTCCGGTGAATTTGATTGCATTATCGGCGAAGCAGGTTTCTTACGATTCCGGTGGAGATTTTTATGCTGCCCGCGTTGCTACCAACGATAGTTCCGGTGATTTTTTTACTGAATTCTCATCGTAGCAGGTTTCTATCGATTCCGGTGGAGAGGAGGAGAATCCCTCGGAGATTCCTCTCGATATAGGTGGAAGTTTTTAGTGCTGCCAACGAATGTTCCGGCGGATTTGACTTCATTCTTATCAGAGCAAATTCCAGTCCATTCTGGGGGAGATTTTCAATGCTGCCGACAAAACTACCGGTGGATTTATCTGATTTCTTGACGTTTCCGGTGAAGATTTTCGATGCTGCCCACAAAAGATCCTATGAATTTTTCCGAGAATTGATCTATATTCTCGACAGAGCAGGTTCATTTCGGTTCTGGCTGGTGGAGGATTTCGATGCTTCCAGCGGATTTCACAAGATCACAACGGAGAAAGTTTCAGTCGATTCTGGTGAAGATTTGGTGCAACGGATTTTTTTTTCAAGTCTCCACTAGAATTACTGTTGACAGCATTGAAAATCTCCACCGCAATAGAGTGGAGTTACCTTTATGGTGGTGGTGGAACCCCCTACGTCGACAAGGTCAGATAAAATCCACTGAAGCTTACGTTGGCAGCATCGAAAATCTCCACCGGAGTCAACTGGAGCCTGTCCCCTCGCCGATTCCGTCAATTCAAGCATAACTTTTCAAAAGGACGTATGTAACATTGGATAGGAAATGAGAAACATTGGATAGCAATGTCTATATGAGATTATTAAATGCTATTTAAAAGTTAATGCTATTTTTTAAAATCTGTTTGAGCTATTAGTTGGATAAAGGGATACCGTTTAAGAGAATTGTGAAAAATGTCGAGTTTTGCAAACACGGACAAGACTTTTGATAAAACAAAATCATACACCTTTTACTTGTGTACTACTCACATACACCCTGATTGATTCGTCGTATCACACCTTGATTGTTACATACACCCTGCATGATCCGTCTATTTGACAGAAGGGTTTTCACAGACGTCAAATCAGATACACCGGTTTTTGTTTTGCAGTGAAGATACGTCCGCAGCTCAAAAAGCATTGAGGAATTGTCGGTTGGTTGCGAGGTTGGTTGGCTTATTTACATAACTACCCAGAATTGTGAAATAATCGATGTTAAAACTGGAGATGAGAGGGTCACCGCATTATCTGCTGTCAGATGTTATACGTTTTGTGTTTTTTGTATTAAGAAAGCGCTGGTCAGATTGGTATGTGAAGTTCAATATTAAAGTCAAGATTAAAGTGCAATTTTATTAGAATATTTTTGAAATAATAAACATGTTGCTCCCGGAAATACAAAAACAAACATACAAACTTGACGCATTTGCTGATTGATAGTGGTTGCTTTGTTTTTTCACATACGACGCTTCACTGTAAGCGTATCTGCAGTTTTTGTGTTATCATCAAATTTTAACAGTTAAGCCATGTTGACAATAAAAGGGTGTATCACCACCATTTTAAAAACAATGAAAGAAGGTCACATAGGGCGTTCATTAAATATATTTTCCATAATTATGCATTACAATCTCAAACCTTGTTTTTCATTAACTCGTAGGAAAAGCATGTATTTTATATTCGGTTTGATGCAAAATATCGATTTGTTTATTTTTGCGACTTACGTCCTTTTGAAAAGTTATGCTTGAATTATTCCGAAAAATGCACTGGTACTAAAATCTGAACCGGATCAACTGGAACGTTCTCCGATGTAAATTCAAAAGAATCCCCCGGAACTGTCGTAGGCAGCTTCAGCAGTCTCCACTGAAATCGAATAGAACCTCCTCCGTCGAGAATTTAGAAAAACTTTCAGTTTCAGTTAAGCTGGGTTTAGACAGGGCAAGTCAATTGAGCAAGTCAGTTGAATTCAACTGACTTGAACGCGAATTGAACGTGTAAACCATACCATTCAACTGACTTGATCAACTCACTTGAATTGAAAAAAATTGAACAAGACTCAACTTTTCAAGCCAATTGAATTCAACCATAGAGGTAACTCTAAGACTAGAAGGTCCCGAAATAACGTGCTCAACTTTTTGGCTCAGCTCTGGTACTCACTTTGGTCCCAAGCTAATCGATTCACCCCTCGAAACATAGGGAAAACCAATAACCCCTCATTTTATCTGTTAAACTTTCATAGCGAATCAAAACAATCATTGCGTAGTACTAGAATTTCGACTAGAATAGGGTACGTTAATCGTTTGCTTGGGACCAATAGGCTAGTCAAGTGGTGAGCCAATTTAAAATCGTTAGTTTCGTATTGATTGTTGATTCAACTGAGTTGATCATTTGACTTGCCTAGTCTAAACCCAGCTTTAAGTTGCCAGCATCGAAAATCTCCCCCGGAGTGGACTGCATAACAAAATCCACTTCTTGGCAGCATCAAAAATCTCGTGTTTCTGGTAGCCATATTTGTTGTTTTATTTTACATAGTTGAAGATGCTAATTTAAAATAACAGACTGTAGTGGTAATTTTTATACGATAGATGGAGTAGATGAAAGCATAGAGTTGATAGTTCCGTTAGAGTACGGCAGTGTGAAGATTGTATATCGAGCTAGGACAACTTTTAAGGAAGGTACAAATCGGTTTTTTCATCTCTCTTTACCAAACTCCCCCTTTGGAGAGGGATGGTGAGGGGTGTCCCCCCCGCGCCAGTGGTGGCGGGGGGGGGACACCCCTCACCATCCCTCTCCAAAGGGGGAGTTTGGTAAAGAGAGATGAAAAAACCGATTTGTACCTTCCTTAAAAGTTGTCCTAGCTCGCTTGTCTAATATCTATATACAATCTTCACACTGCCGTACTCTAACGGAACTACACACAAAAAATAATCATTGATAAAATTAAAAGAACCGTTGATAGAATTAAAAGTTTGCATTGGTTCTTTTTGGTAGAAAGTAGCTAACTTTTAAAATGAAAGTCAACCAACTGTCAAAACAAAAGTTTAGCATATTATTAATTTTAAAAGTTTAAACTTTCAAATCAAATTGTAGAACTGTCAAACTAAAAACCAAATACTTTTATATTGATGTTGGAAAAGTGTTGCTTCAAAAGAAGGCTATTTCACCGCAATTAATATAAGTTTTCACCTCAAATAAGAATTATTTTTAATTTAATTGCTTTTATGTAAAAGGGAAATAACCAATATTTACATTTATTTATTTAGTATTTTGTAAATATTCATATTTCTATTTTTCATTCACATCAGGATGTTGATATCAGGGATGTTGTCTTTGGCGAATGGCTTTAGTGAAGGTTTTCTCCCAGACGCGGGGATACAACATGCAGCGGACTTGCTCGAACGGAAGTGCATCTTTTTTTCACAGCTGGCCGGTGATAAGCAGGAAAACCTGGTGCGACAAATCTTACCAGTGTCCTATAGAAAAGAACGGAATCTGTAATCCCTCCAGCGATACATTGTAAACGCTATTGATAGCCACCGAAAGCATCTTTGCAGTGTGCTCTAACGTCCCAATATGCTGGCGATCTGGAAAATAATCATCTTGTTTTCAAAACTACCCTCAAAATATCTAGACAGTAGTTGCAAACTTACCTTCTGCGAAAACTTTACTCTTTCTCATTGCCTCCGCTTCCGGAATCGGTTCCCGGAACTGCACGATGCACGATTGATTTTCTGCGGTTTGATTCTAGTGTCTCATACTATATGCCCTATTGGATTTTTGGACCATGACAATGAGCTTTTCAAGAGGTGATTTTGACAGTTGTACAATTTTTATTTTAAAGGTATGAACTTTTAAAATTACATGTCGATAATGAAAGAAAAACTTTCAAACAAAAGAAAAACAATTCATTTTGAAAATATTCATAGTTGAAACTACCAAATTCGAGAAACTTTTAATTTGAAATGTTAAATTTTTTAAAGATACAATTTTTGTTTTTTGTGTGTATCAACTCTATGCTTTCATCTACTCCATCTATCGTATAAAAATTACCACTACAGTCTGTTATTTGAAATTAGCATCTTCAACTATGTAAATCGTTGACTTCACGTAGAAGTTATACTAAAAACATATAGTCAAAGTGTTTTATTTTGATTACCGGTACGCGATAATGGCGTCCCAATCACTGGCCTGATTGCTAACTTCATAGGTTACAATACTTATCACGAACTTTAGAAAATAAGAAAACTGTTTCCGGTTCGCTCACGGCCTTGCTATAAAATTTATAGCACACTCCTTTTTGACGTTTATCCTATCTTCGCAAGCAAATCAAACGTCAACGCATTTTTGTTTTCCTTTTCACCCCAATTTCAGATAATTCGCACCGCGCAGTTTCACGTGCTGGAAATGTTTTCCTTGTAAAATCAAATAATTCCGTGACAACCCCAGGAAAAATGTCCAAATTTATCCATCTCGTCGTCGATACATCGGCATTCATCAAAAATGTCCAACTTCAGGTGAGATTAGCATGATAAGTGTTTGATTCAAATGTGTTTCAACTTCAATCAGTTTGTTTTGGTTCCGTAGGACGTCGCCGAAAACTGCTACACCGTGCAGGGTGTGTTGGACGAAATCAAAAACGATCGGCAGCTGAAACGGTTGGTCGTGTTGCCGTACAGTCTTCAGGTGCGGGAACCGGATTCGGAAGTGCTGGCTAAAGTGACCAATATTGCCAAAAAGACGGGAGATTTCGCTTCGCTTTCACTGGTGGATCTGAAGGTGGTAGCTCTAACGTACCAACTGGAGAAGGAACATGTAGGAACGGAACATTTGCGAGACGAACCCAAACCGGCCAAGACAATATGTTCCGGGCAGAAACCACAGGAGCTGGTCGGTACCGGGAAAGTACTCGGATTCTACGATGGCAAGAAGCGGATGGAAACGGAACAAACCGTTCAGAATGAGGAAGAAGCATCGGGAATGGAAGTTGAAGTTGAAGTTCGGGATGAGGCGAGTGACTTGAAGGAGAAGTTTGCGGAGTTGAGCACGGAGGAAGCACAAGAATTGGAAGAAGGGCTTCTGAAAAAGGTCGAGACCCCAGAGGCAGAAATGGAAGAGGAGTCGGATGAGGATTGTGAGGAAGAGGAGTTTTCCGAAGAGGGAGATGAAGCGGATGAGGAGGGTGAAGACGATGATGATGAAGGATGGATTACTCCGTCGAACATCAAGGAAGTCAAACGTGACTATGGCACAGATCTGCTGGAAGAGAACACATCGCCGGTCGCTTGCATGACAACGGATTTCGCAATGCAAAACGTGCTGAAGCAGATTGGACTGCACATTGCCGCTCTGGATGGTCGGGTAATCAAACATGCCCGGACGTACATTCTGCGATGTTACGCGTGCTTCAAAACGACGTCAGATTCCACGAAGAAATTCTGCCCCAACTGTGGCAACAACACACTGAAGAAGGTTGCCGTCAGTTTGGACGCGAATGGACAGCAGGTGATTCACATCAACACGAGAAGGCCGCTGACGGCTCGATACAAGAACCGTCCGGTATCCAAGTTCGATGGTGGCAAACATGCCGCCAATCCGCTACTGTTCGAAGACCAACCGCTACCCCAGCAGAGAATATCGGCCAAGGCGAAGGCCAAGACCAACGCCCTCGGGGATGACTATACGGCCGGATATTCGCCGTTCGTGATGAGGGATGTGGATTCCCGTTCGGCGGTGCTCAGGGGCAAGACCAACTTGAAGCAGTGGATGCAGAACTACGAGTACGATAACCAAAGAAGGGGTTACAAGAAGTAGGTGCGAGCGTGCTGCTGTTATAATCTAACAGTGTATTATAATGAAGATTCAATAAATGGTTGTTTAACCTATATATCAATTAAATCAGAAACGGAAGCTATAAAGCTTTCAAAATTCGACTCGACCAATGAGAACGACACAAATTTGAGTTTAGTTTACTCATAAATCACAACAAGTGCAGGAACTCGGCGATGAGTAAATTTGCCTCATATTTTTCCAGGGAATAATACCCGAATATGTGAAAAGTAAAGATTGTATTCACTCAGTCTATTGTTACTACTCCTAGCCTGAGTAATATTTTCGTCATTTTTCCGGTCGATTTTTTAGGTTTTGAGTTCCTGCACTTTTTGCGATTGTGAGCAAACTGAACTCAAATTTGAGTTGATCTCATTGGCCGTGTATGCAAAGGTGATTGCTAGCTGAGCATTGCAATATGTCCTAAATGTCGCTTTGGTGGAGACTTTCTCATTGTATAACCCAAGGCCATGCAAGAAAGCCCATTTCGTGCTATTTTCGATCACCCATATTCTCGTTTACGTCGGCACAGTATTTTTCACACAAAAAAATGTTTGTGTATGAAAAATACGGTTTGATAATAAACGAGAACATAGGTGATTTACCATATATAAAGTTTTAAAGAAAGTTCGAGTTGTTTGAAAACGAAAATTACGGTGATATAATATCGTCATCGATCAATCAATGTCATATGATATTATATTATGATTCTCCCGATTCTCCTCGACTCTTATAACGAAGAACAAAATTTGTTAAAATACTCAACAAAAATTCGATGCACACAATTCGGCAGCACTGGCCGTGTTCGCATCGGCGAACGTGCCCCACATCGTTTGCTTCTTTTCTTCGCGTCCGCTTCTCGCTCGCATCTTTTTCGCTAGAACTGTCAAATTTGCACGCAAGCAAAGCTGACCTGAAACTGGCGCAAGAAATAAATAATTTGAAAAAATCCTTCCAAATAGTCACTTTTCACCCCTTAGCCACCTTTGTCGGTGGGTTTTCTTCAAGTGTGAACTGTTTTCCCTGGCGAGCGTTGCGGATTCAAAGGTAAGTCGGTCGAAATTGCTCCCAACAGATCGTTAACATCGTTATCTCACGCCCCCATAGCCGTTGTAAACAATCGTCGCAGCACAGCGGAGAAGATGTCTTCGTCGGATGAAAAAGACGACGGCGGTGGCGGAGGGCCATCGTCATCCGGCGAATCGGAAGTCAAAATCAAAGAGGAACCGGAGGTGGAAGATTCCGCAACTGCGCTGATGGAAGTGGACGGTTCTCCGCCTCCAGCCTTTGGGCCGGCTGCTCTGGGGCTTCACCCGGTTGGGACCAAGTTCCCGGAGAAGATGACCCCGACGAAACCGACTCAGGTGCTCAATGCTCGCGGGATGCCGGCCAGAATAAGGAAGAAGAACAAGATGTTCTTTGATGAAGATCTGCTGATCAATGACCGGATTCCGCCGAAGGGTAGTCCCCGGAAGGGAGCGGCCACAGTTGGACCTGGAGGAACGCCTTCGGCGACTTCATCGCCGCAGAAGGGTTTGGTGACGCCGGGAAAGAATGTGATCCGATCGGGCCAGAAGAAGAAGATACTGTCGCGGTACGACAGGATGAAAGACAGTATGAAGAAGCGCAAGGTAGATCCGGACGAGGGCAGCTCACTGCGGGTGATCAATCCGATTGCGCTGCTGGATAAGAAGGCTAGTCAGAGGATTGGACTCAGGTTGAGAAATTTGCTGAAGCTCCCGAAGGCGCACAAGTTTGTCAGCTACGAGTGGTTCTACAGCAACATTGATCGGGCACTGTTCGAGGGGGAGAACGATTTTCAGATGTGTATGAGGGAGATGTATCCGAATCTGACGACCAGACATTTAACGAGGTAGGTGGCTCCAAACCGCAAACCTTAGATTGAACTCAAATCTTCACATTCTAATTTCAGAGCTGAGTGGAACAAAGTCCGCCGGACCATGGGCAAACCGAGGCGTTTTTCGGCGGCATTCCTGGAAGAGGAACGGCGTGAATTGGAACGGAAACGTCGCAAGATCCGTCTGCTGCAAACCAAGCGATCGGGAGACGTTTCGTTCGTTCGGGACCTACCGAAGGAGATTCCACAGCAGCTTTCCGTGGGAACTAAGGTGACCGCTCGTCTGCGGGCTCCCCAAGACGGTCTATTTACTGGAACCGTGGAAGCGATCGACGTCATGTCCAGCTCGTATCGGGTTTGCTTCGATCGGCCCGGATTGGGCTCGCATACGATTCCGGACTTCGAAGTCGTGGCCAACGATAACCCGGAGAAGATTGCCCTGAATACGATCACAAAGGACTTCCGACCAAAGTATCAGAATGCTTCGTTCTATGTCGCTTCGCCTGCCGTCAAGAATCCCATCACCGGCATCAAGGGCGATCCGCTGCTCGGTGGCGATAGCTATCCGAAGATCCCCGGAATGCCGGAAAACAAGATGCTCTTTCCGAAGGATAACATCGGTGGATTCCCGGTCAAATTGCTGGAGTTGATCGTTCGAACGCGGAAGACCCTTTCGGCCAAACAGATGAAATTGCTTCGGTTACAGAATATGAACTCGGAAGCGGAGATCTACAAGTCCTACGGGGATCCGTTTCCGGAGGAGTTTCAGAAGCGCTACGCCTCGCTGGTGGTGGCGATGGAGAAGCTCAATCGGGACATTCATCAGCAGCTGAACCAACTGCAGGTCAGTTGTAAGAACCTGGCGCAGGATCCAGCGGTCCTGGCAATGATTTCCCCCAGTCATCTCAGGGAACAGTGTCGCGATCAGGCGGACGAAACTTTCGACAAAAACAACAACGGCCAGTTGACGAACGATGCGATGATCAAGCTAATTAAGGATCTCACCACGATCATGTACGTGGCATCCAATCTGGGGCGGAACGGGGATCAGACGGAACACTGTCTGGAGGTGCTGAGGGGCTGCATGGAGGAAACCAAGGGCCGGTTGGACTTTGACAATATGGTGTCGTTTCAGCGGGGGGTCGTTCAGCACATGAAACACATCCAGGCGGGCTTCGAGGCGGCTCATAAGCAGAAGATGCTGGTCGAAGAGCAGCAACGGCAGCTGAAGCAATCCGAAGCGGCTTCGGTGTTGGATTCTGCTGACGGAATTTGAGCAGGGATGTGTGCATTTCTATCTTCTTTTGTATTAATTTTCCACGCTTTAGGTTAGTAGATTTTTTTTTCTCATAATATCCATTTGCATTACGATATAATAAATGAATTCGGTAAAAATTTAGGAATTGCGTTTATGGAAAATTTTGAAGGCCCTTGGGCTAGGTGGGCTAGGTCTCTTGGTTGAGGCTTAACCGCCCTGACGGTCCACCTCAGCGGCGATGTCCTGTCGGGTTCCATTCCAGCGCTTGCTAGAAGATTTCGTTTCCGGGCGGATTTCGTCGAACCTTTTTTAACCCTATTCCAAATTCAAATTAATTTGCCCTAAGAACGTCATTCATTGCCTTATTTGTTGTAATTGTAATTTATCAGCACACACCCTGGTCGACCACTGTAAACCAATCTGCCGTTAAGCGAGTGTGTACCTACTGAAACCTGGCCGTAGGCCTATGCTGGACCGTATAGCATAACGACCTTCTTCCACTAGCAGGCCTGTTTCTGTTTGTACAGACAGTCCCACTAGTTTCCGATACATTTATAGGGGATAGTAGGAGATTAAAAGAATTGAGAAGAGTTATAGAGGTTTTTTTTGTTGTTGTTTCGCTGAAAAGAGAGAAACAGAACTAAACGAAATTACACCTGCTGAAAAAAGATAAGTCTATTATTTTGGTTAGTGATCGTTTGGATTTGGGTCACCCCACGTTGTGTTTAGGTTAGTATAAATAAATAATACTATATAGTAATATAAATCACCACAGCTCATTATCTTCAGCGTTATCGGCGTTTCTGGATCTTTAGTTGCCTCTGTGATATACTTACTTGCGGCATACTATTTTGGGAGTGTATATGAGCGTGTACCATGTACGGTAGCTCATCTCTCATCGTGATGGTGGGACATAGTAGACAAATTAGAGAGAAAACAAGGAGGTATTAGTATTAGTTATATGTAAACAAACAAAACAAAAGAAGAGAAGAGGAACGAAGAGCAGAAAAATAAAAGAGGATAAAGTAGATAACAAAGAAAAGAAACGTAGGCAGATTATTAGAAAAGGCATTATCCGAGACTCAGCAATCAAATGTCACTCCCGCCGAGATCTCAGCGAAACCCCCTCCCCGCCGAGCTCGGTAGAAAAAACTAAGTGTGTAGATAGATTAGTAGGAAAATAAATAAAACTACTTTATGACTCAAAGTGCAACGAATGAGCGTTAGTTTCGGGATCATTTCAGTGTAAGAGTTATGTTAGTTTTGATCCGTAATCAGCCCTGCCGACCCCTCAACATTAGTTGCAGGCAGTGGTTGTTAGATAATGCGGCACTGTAATTACTACTATTTTAGAGGTATGATTCGTCAAGTTTATACAACTCAATGTTTCAATTGAGGCAAACTATCTATCTAACAATTACAAAAGCAAACCTAAACTTACAATTATATGCAAATGCAAAATGAAACTTGACAAATCATCGTTAATCCCCTTATTCCAGGGCAGGGCCTGACGATTTGAATATAATTTTGATCAGTGAACGGGCACCATATGGTACATTTTCTCAACATGAACCTATCATTTCCAGCCTATCTGAACTATTTAATAAATGGAAGCCATAACATGGGTTACGCTTCCCCTAAGCAGGCCCTCCGCATCCTGTCTCTGTCTTATCTCAAATACAAAATGCCAATATATATAATACAAAATGTATCTATATATAACTTGGAAATGACGTACAATCAAATAAACCCGTAGCCCACTCACTTGGTCAGGCTTCAGAATCGTCCAATGGGCAGTGCGCTCTACACGCCAAGTTACCTTTTTTTTTCAAATTTACCGCAATTTTGATATTTTACCCATTGAGTGTTGATTAGTCACAATGAAACATTGTGACAGAAGTTGAGGTTACTAGTGTATTAAATAATCTAGGTCCTATTTAAAATTATATCTGAAAAATCCAAATCTGGCCAACGCCCACCCTAAACCTAAACCTGTTCTAATCCACCTGAAATGACTAACGAATGGAAGACTTTGACTACCCAGCCATGCAATAGTCTCATTCCGTACCTTATGGCAACTTGATGATTCTATTGCGCTCATCTTCTGGCACCACCCAGGGGAGACTTGGTCCTGTACCCAATGCTTAACTTATCTCCATTCCACTCAGCTACTCGCAATTTCTTGTGATATAGTGGGTGGAATATTATTATATGAGACAATTCAATGCAGACGTCTTTCCAAATTTGGCAGATCGACAGGTAATCGGTGAGTTACCACGATAGTTGCTATTCAACAACTCGACAACGTCCCATCGTCAACGCCTGCTATGAGAATTTCCCATTTTTTTTTTTTTTTTTTTTTTTTTTAACTCTTTATTTGTTCCAAATTCAAAATAAATTACATTTCATTTTAACCTAGGTGCTCCAGTTACTGCAGTAACGTACCAGCCTTAATTGTTATGATATATATCTAAGTGTTTTTACATTGTTCATGTCTTGGCAATTCAGTATTTTAAACAGGTTTTTTAACCTGCATGTCAGTATAACAATTGATATCTTAAAACTAAAAACTAAAACTAAATCTTATCTAAGTATAAAGGGAATTAATCGTTGTAATTGAGGATTGCAACGATTTTTGCCTGAAATTATTAATTATTTTGTTGGACATTTGTGCTAAAGTCTCAACATTCGAAATTCTATGTACTTCGGTTGTACTGTACCAGGGAGGCAACTTCAAAATCATTTTCAGAATTTTGTTCTGAATCCTTTGAAGTGCTTTTTTCCTGGTAGTGCAGCAACTAGACCATATTGGTACAGCGTAAAGCATGGCCGGTCTAAAAACTTGTTTAAATATTAGAAGTTTATTCGTCAGGCAAAGTTTGGATTTCCTGTTTATAAGAGGATACAAACATTTAATATATTTGTTACATTTGGCTTGAATGCCCTCAATGTGATCTTTAAAAGTTAATTTTTGGTCAAGTATTAATCCAAGATATTTCACTTGGTTTGACCAGGAAATTGGAACTCCGTTCATAGTGACTATGTGACTACTACTAGGTTTCAAAAACGAAGCTCTAGGCTTATGTGGAAATATTATAAGTTGAGTTTTGGAAGCGTTAGGAGAAATCTTCCATTTTTGTAAATAAGAAGAGAAAATATCTAAACTTTTCTGCAGTCTGCTGCAAATAACACGAAGATTTCTTCCTTTAGCGGAAATGCCTGTGTCATCAGCGAACAAAGATTTGTGGCAACCCTGAGGCAAATCAGGGAGGTCCGAAGTGAAAATGTTATACAATATAGGCCCAAGAATGCTACCCTGAGGAACTCCTGCCCTAACAGGGAGTCGATTAGATTTGGAATTTTGATAATTTACTTGAAGAGTTCTGTCAGTTAAATAATTTTGAACTAATTTCATAATATAAAGTGGAAAATTAAACTTTTTCAATTTAGCAATCAAACCTTCATGCCAAACACTGTCGAATGCTTTTTCTATGTCTAGAAGAGCAACTCCAGTTGAGTGGCCTTCAGATTTGTTTGAACGAATTAAATTGTTAACTCTTAAGAGTTGATGAGTAGTTGAATGCCCATGGCGAAATCCAAACTGCTCATCTGCAAAAATTGAGTTCGTATTGATGTGAAGCATCATTCTATTCAAAATTATCTTTTCAAAAAGTTTACTTATTGAAGAAAGCAAACTTATTGGACGGTAGCTAGAAGCTTCAGCTGGATTTTTATCCGGCTTCAAAATTGGAACAACTTTTGCGTTTTTCCATTTATCAGGAAAGTATGCCAAATGGAAACATCTGTTAAATAATTTTACCAAGAAAGACAAGGTACTCTCTGGGAGTTTTTTGATGAGGATATAGAAAATTCCATCATCACCTGGAGCTTTCATATTTTGAAAAATTTTAGTTATAGACCTTACTTCGTCCAAATCAGTCCCCCAGGAATCATCAAAAATATTTTCCCGAGAGAAAATATTCAGATAATCCCGAGCAACCTGATTCTCAATAGGACTAGTAAGACCCAAACTGAAATTATGGGAACTCTCGAATTGCTTAGCAAGTTTCTGAGCTTTTTCCAAATTTGTGATCAAAATTTTACCACCTTCTTTAAGCGCTGGAATAGGCTTTTGAGGTTTTTTCAAAATCTTTGTGAGTTTCCAAAAGGGTTTGGAACTCGGGTCTAATTTAGAAATATTATTTTCAAAAGTTTTGTTCCTCAGGGCAGAGAATCGCTTTTTAATTTGTTTTTGCAAATCCCGCCAGATAACCTTCATGGCAGGATCGCGTGTTCTTTGATATTGTCTCCTACGGACATTTTTAAGACGGATCAAGAGCTGAAGATCATCGTCTATTATAATTGAATCGAATTTAACCTCGCATTTTGGTACTGAGGCAGCTTTTGCTTCAACTATAGAAGTAGTCAGAGATTCAAGAGCATAATTAATTTCATCTTTGGTTTGCAAAGGAATGTTTGGATCGAAGTTATATTCCATAAATGTTCGATACTGCTCCCAATCAGCTCTATGGTAATTGAAAGTAGAGCTGTTGGGATTAGAAATTATTTCTTGGGATATTTCAAAAGTTACTGGAAGGTGATCAGAACCGAAGTCAGCATGGGTAACCAATTGGCTACAAAGTTGACATGAATCAGTTAAGACCAAATCAATAGTGGAGGGATTTCTTGCAGAAGAAAAGCATGTTGGGCTGTTTGGATATTGAATAGTGTAATAACCTGCAGAACAATCATCAAACAGAATATTACCATTGGAATTGCTTTGAGCATTATTCCATGAGCGGTGTTTTGCATTAAAATCACCAATAATGAAGAATTTAGACCTATGACGGGTAAGTTTCTGAAGGTCACCCTTGAGAAAATTCTTTTGCTGGCCTACGCATTGGAATGGCAAATAGGCAGCTATAAACGTAAGTTGTCCAAATTTTGTTTCAACAGAAACTCCCAAAGTTTCAAAAACTTTGGTTTCAAATGAAGAAAGAATTTTATGTTTGATTCGTCTATGAACAATGATGGCAACGCCACCACAGGGTCCATCAAGACGATCATTTCTATAAATCAAGTAATTTGCGTCCTTCTTAACCTTATGGTCAGGTTTAAGGAACGTTTCAGTTATAACGG